GGAGGCTGAACAGGTTCAAGTCCCGTAGTCTGTCCTCGTAGGGCCTGCTCTGCTGCCCCCTGACCATGTGAGTGGCCTCCTCTGGATCCTCTCCATGTTGTCCACATCCCCCCTGAAGTGCGGTGCCCAGAACTGGACACAGTACTGCAGCTGCGGCCTGACCAGTGCCGCATAGAGGGGGAGGATCACCTCCCTGGACCTGCTCGAGATGCATCTGTGGATGCACGACAAGGTGCAGTTGGCTTCCTGACTGCATCCCCACACTGCCGGCCCATGTTCATTTTGGCATCAATGATGACTCCAAGATCTTTTTCTGCCTCTGCCCTGACAAGAGGGGAGTTCCCCAGCCTGTAGGTATGGTGCTGGTTCTTCCTCCCCAGGTGCAGCACCTGGCACTTGTTGGTGTTGAATCCCATCCTATTCTCGTCCGCCCACCCTTGTAACCTGTCTAGGTCTGATTGCAGCCTATTCCTCCCTTCTTGCGTGCCCTCCAGCCACCTCCTGTGGGTTACAAAGAGCTCATCAGCCATTTACGATGAAAGCATTTTTTTTAAAATGCCATTTATTTCCACCTCGTCTTCGCTTCTCTCATTTCGTGCTGTTTGAATGGCTGCAGGACGCTGCTGGCTGCCCCCTGGGTGAGTTTGTGTGGGACACTAAGAGGAAATGCAGAGCCATGATTCGGTCTGTGCAGGGTTTTGTACCTGCTGCTGCACTGCTGGGGTTCATGCCTGGCTGGCCCTGTTGAGAACAGAATTGGTCAGGGTGGGTTTTGCCTTCCTCTGGTGGGGGAAGTGGCCCTCTGCCTGGGATCTCTTGAACGTATATTAATACCCTTTCATAGAAACAGGATGTTGGCTGCTATAGTTCCCCTGTGACAGCTTTGGGTGTGATGTGTGTGCTGTGTCAGGATTGACAGTAGTTTTACTAAGAGGTTTGATGATGGATTTGTCTGGGATGGTTTGGGTAGGGCTGATCCTGCCTCAGCAGGGGGTTGGACTAGGTGATCTATGGAGATCCTTTCCAGCCCTACTTCTCTGTATGATATTCTCTCTCTTTCCTCCATCCCCTGCTTTAAAATTCAATGATCTTCAGTGTGGAGGCTTTATGAGCTCTTGGTGGGACCATTTGATCCCAGCAGTCTTTCCTGCCCACATGCTGGGGGGGCTGGACCCAATGGTCTGTAAGGTCCCTTCCAGCCCTTAATAACTATGAAACTATGAATGTCTGGCTCAGGTGGTGGTGTTTAGTGGTTAGGGCAGGGGTCAGGATCTGTGGGATTCATTCCCAGATATTCTGCTAGCTTTCTGTGTGAACACAGACCAGTTATGATACTGCTCTGTGCCCATCCAGCCCCATTCTTACCAGGGAGGGATGCTCTTTCCTGGTTTACCTGGGGCAGCCAGGGGCTCTGTGTGCAAGAAGCAGGATTGCCTGGGACAGGCCTGTTCCTGGGGTGTGCACAGAGGGAGTTCACCGTGTTAGTTGGGCATCAAGCAGAGGGCACAGCAGGGTGGCACCTTAGACTAGCTGGCCCAGAGAGGTGAGGCTTTCCACCTACTTCATTAGATGCTAGGGTTGGCCTGGCAGCCTGCCCTCCCTTCTACCTTGCCAATATGGACCCACAGCAAGAACACAACTTGCTGGTGTGAGGGCTGGAGAGCTGCTCCTGAGGTTTTCTTTGCATTGAAACATTCGAGCTGCGCTGAGCCTAGCAGTCTGTTGGGAGATGTGGGTAAGGCAGGCCAGCCAGTGGCCCACACAGGAGGGCATGTGACTGGCATCTTATCTGTCTGCCTTTAGACTCCCCCATCCAAACAGCCAGGTGCCCATCTACCCCTGGGCCAGCTGGGGTGGCCCTTGGAGTGAGCCTCCAGTACCATAACAGAACATCTTGCTCACTCAGCTGTGATATCACTCAGTACAAGGGCAAGGACAGGGGCTATGTCCAAGGCACATAATAGTTTCATAGTTTCTAGGGTCGGAAGGGACCTG